TCCATGTGCAAGAGGCTCTGTTCTCTCACCATAATCAAAAAAGTTTCCAGATCTACATGTTACTTCAAAATTTGTTTTTAATCCCTAAAGAGCAAACATGATTACGGATTGATACGGAAGCTGTTAAGAGATACTGGATGTGTAATTAACTGCAGAACTAAGCAGGAAAAAGGAAGCTCTATACCACTATTGCCAGAACCAGACCATCTGAATTAAAGCTCCAATCACTACAGGAAAATAAGAATAGCTATTGCTGTGGAAGCTGGCTGCCATGCATAGCAACTTTTAAGAACAAGGAAACTGTTAGTTCTCAGCAAATACTGTTTAACAACACATATATTACATTTCATGGGCATATGATTATTGTAGCAAACATCCAAACCACTGGTTAGATTTGACCGACTGGGCTTCCTACATTGCAAGGACACAGGTGAACCCACGTGCGCCTAACCAAAACCAGAAACAACAAGAAAGGACAATGACTCTATGGGTATGAAAGCCTTTAAGGGGATGCGTGTGCAGTATGTTGAGATGCAAGCTGGAATGAGGGGCCAAAGAACACGAATCCCAAATCTTAAATTCTACCCTTTCCAGATATGGACAAAGGGGCAGTTTTTATTCTACAGCAAATGAAATGAACTGTTCCTCATGCTTAAATATATTGTGGTACCAGTTTTTTCCATGGGTCATGAAGCCATATGCCAATTACACAGCTATAATTTGGCAGTTCAAATTTAGACCTAGCATCTGCAGGATGATGGTAGGAAGACAAAGCAAAATGGAACTCTGTTGACTATACAATCACTGTCTTGCATGCTTTCATATTTCCTGCCTGTATTGTACCCACATTTATAAAAGCAAGAAGGGGGCAAAGAAACCCCACATGTTGCACCAAGTGATGCACAACGAGACAACTAGGCCAAGCCACTGAAACGTTAGCAGCTTACTGCAATACTGTTGATTCTTTACTCTGGTCTGAGATCATGAAAAAAGTAGTTTGTATGTGCCTCTGGATGCAGGAGGCTACTGAGATCAAGTAGTGATGCCAGAAGTAGAGTTCAGCAGGCATAAGTGAAACAGGAGTTATGCAAATCAATTTTAGCACAAACCGTGGGAGTCAGCAGCAGGAAAAAAAAATATAATGCAATACTAAGGAGCCAAAACCACAAGCCAGATTGTTTTACACTAAGATGTGGGCTAACTGTGCAAGTTGCTCTTGGTCCCACATGACTCCATCAGTAGTCTACAGTGTACTTTTGCCCTTGTTCTATTTCTTTATTGCTGTCTGTAGCCTGGCCTGGCTTCTTTGTCCTTTTGCCTACATTTGTTTAATGGGGGGGGTGGAGTTTGTTCTCCTTCAAAATTTGAGGGGAGGGGGTTTCCCCCCTCATTTTTTCTAAATGTTGAAAGTGGATCTCATTTCTCTATTTCTTGCCCTGGGATATCAGGTACTCTGATTCTTGCATTCCCAGATGCATGGACACATTCCTTCCATGTGATGGATGTGCCAGCATTTCCCAGTTTTTGCCTTATCGCAGACTTGTCCCTGAAATAAAAAAGAATATATAGAAAAGGTCAATAAGCTTATATAAAAGTACATGGTACACTTGACATAAAAGGGACGTCATCAAAGTAATGACTTTGTTTATTTCTGAATGCCACGGTCATCACAAATGAGGTAATTTATCATGCAATTGAAATAAGGATGAATGTCCATCGTTTTCCAGATTTTACATTTGTTATGGAGATGTTCAGGTAATGAAGGAGTGGGGAAATATGAAGAGACAGGGCTTGAGTTGTGTTCTTTATCAAGCAACTGACAAGGAATACCTACTGTATTTGCCTGTGCCTAGTTTTGTGCAGAAGGTTCTATCAGTGGAAAGAAAAGCCTTCAAGAGAAAAAAAAATGGGGAGGACTGATAATCATATAGCTTATTTCCATGTATAACAGCACTCATGGAACACCAGGTGGGGTCCAGCAGGGTAGAAAAGTGATTTAAGTTTTTGTTTGTTAAATAAGCCTAAACTTTAACAGTTAAGTGACAAAGGATGTTTAGGCCTGAATTTGCTACAATCTAATAATCATTTATTAGATTTATATGCCATGCTTCCCAGCAAAGGCCAAGGGAAGCTTACAGTACGAGACAAAACTTACAAAGCAGGCAGAATGAGATAACAAAAACTCCCAGTATCCCTGCTTAGTATATCTTGTTAAATGCCTGACCACACAGGAAGGTCCTATAATGTTTCTGCAAGATGTCCAGGCTTGAACTGCGGTGGGCCTCAAGAAGAGGGGGGAAGGAAGGAGACGACACATTTTGCAGACTCGGGGGAAACTAAGAAATACCTGTCAAACTATTATTTCCTCAAGGGAACGTGGTCTGGGGTGGACCCAGGGGTGGGGTGGTGCAGCCATGCAACCCTTTGGCTGTGCACTGCATGCGCTGGGAGCCTCACAGCTCACCTGCAGGTCAACATGTTCTTGCTGGGAGCTCCACATGTGCTGTGAGCTCTATGAACTCACCACTGGTCCGGGCAGACTGCCAGAGTCCTTGCATCTCCTCAGTCCCCCTCCTTTCTCCCTAGCCCAAATTCAGTAGCAGGAAAAAGGAAGGGAAGAGCAGCCAGCAGCAATATACAGCTTTCGTGCAGCCTGAGGCTCAGTGCTGTAAGCGTTCATCTGACCTCCTCCTCTGCCTGCTGTTGAAAGCTGGCAGGGAGGAGGGGAAGGAGACATGCCTGCTTGAAAAGCAAGGATTCTGGGCAGAACCCGGAGATCACAGGTAGAGCTTCCAGAAGAAGTTGTTGAGAGATCACTTGCATCCAGGATCACAGCAAGGGGCTGCAGCCACCTCCCCTTCAGCTGTATAGCACATATGCAACCCAAGCTCTCTTCACTGTGTATGTGCCCCAATCCTAGATTTGCCCATGAACTAGGTACACATCAATGGTATTTGCAGGAGATTGTTCTTAGCTGACTTTAGGGCCTCAAGATAGGGCAAAAAGGAAACGGTTGAGTCATATTAGGAAAGAGACTTTCTAATCTTTTTTCTGGAAAGAGACGCAAGATAGAGCTGGCTGTCATCAGCATACTGAAGGCATCTCACTCCAAAGATGTATACAAATCTCACCAAGCAGTTTTGTACACACACTAAACAGGAACGACAATAAATGGCCTTACCATACAAAAGGGCTAAGTGCATTTAGGACCTTTAGGTCAAAACCAGCACCTTGAACTGCATCCCTGGAACAAAGTGAATAGTACCTTGAAAGCCATCAGAAGCCAATGCAGACTCTGGAGCACTGGAGTTACATGCTCCTAGCAACCCACCTCTTTCAGAAAGCAGACTGTTATGTTCTGCACCAGCTGTAACTTCCAGACGGTCATCAAGTGCAGCCCCACAGAGAGCATGTTGCAGTAGTCTAGCCTCAAGGTTGCAAAAAACATGGCTGAGAGTGACCAGACACAAAATCTGAAAGAAAGTCATGCAGCATTCTCACCAGACCCTGTTGGTGAAAGGTACTCCTAAACATGGCTGCCATCTGAAGATCCAAGCACAGCAGAAGATCCAGGAGTACCACACAACTGCAAACCTGAGTCACAAGGGGAGGCTGGATCCCATCAGTGATAAAATGTCTCAATTCCTATACTCCTGCCCCGTTAAGCAGTCTGCGTACACCACCATAATCTTTATCTTGTCTAGATTCAGCTTTAATTAGTTCACCCACATCCAATCCTCAATTGCAACTAGGCACTGGGAAAAGACAGACTGAAGGACTCTGATTAGAATAGAAAAAGAGACCTGGGTGTCATCAGCATATTGATGACACCTCACTCCAAATCTCAACACAAATCTCATCAAGCAGCCTTATATACACATTGAACAAAAGTGGCCACAAAGTAAGAAGGTCAGGAGGAGTAATAGAGCTCGCCACTCACCCACCACCATTCTGGAAACCCCTACTAGGAAAGGGCAGAACATATCAAGAGAGGTTCCATAAATACCCACTAGAGTCTAATCTCATTGTCGGCTCAGATCAAGCATAGTTCTTGATCTGGAAAGCTTGACTTCCTCTAAAAGGTCAAATACAAGCCACTGAACTGATGCAAATCACTGGCTAAGGAACTCGAACTAGAGCTTACTGAAATACTCAACCACTGTCTTGCAACTAAAGCTTGAGTTGCAAAATACAAACCATTTTTTCAGGTTAAATTTGTTCACCTAGTTCAGCGTTTAGGTCAAAATAAAGAAGCCACATGAGAAATGAAAATGCCATCCGCTTTCCAACTTAAGAATAAAAAACCAAAAGATTGTGTGAGGTTTAGGTCTACTGGCTGTAAAATCTTGGGAGGACCTGTGGACCAGAAGTCAGTCAGTTCAATTCACTAGCCACAGAAAATACTTCCTTTAGTTCAGTTTCAACTGTCTTGAATTTATCCCACACAATTCAGGATATTTTTATAATCAGGTTTGGTTTGGGGTTTTTGGGGTTTTTTTTTAAACAAACGATTTTTAAAGTACTGTAAGTGCATTTTAACTGAATTCAAGTTTCCCTTACAAAAGGAAGTATGATACAGATCATAAGCAAGAGATTTAGTAGGTAAGAAGTATATCATGTTGTAGTTTTCTAATCACACCCAGTTCCTGGCTGCAACTGATAATTGGGTGTGGGTGAACCAACTGAAGCAGAATCCAAATCCAAACAAGGTAAAGATGATGGTGGGCAGACTGCTATACCCTTTCCCCATTCCCACCCCCAGGGTGCTTGGGATATTTTTCGTTGATGAGTCCAGCCCCACTTTGTGACTTGCATTTGCAGCTGTGCGGTGCTTCCGAGTCCTCCACCACACTGGCATCTTCAGAAGGCAGTCATAACTAGAAGCATCATTCACCAGCTACCTGGTGAGAAGGATGCACCCCTTTCTTTCAATGGGATAAAATGTAAAAAAAAAAAAAAATCAAGAATCTGAAGGTTAGGTTGAGCTTTGCATTTGCTCAAATAAAGTGTACACAAATCATATATCCTCCTGTTTATCAAAAATATTTTCCTTAGGGACAGTATACATGCATGTAGCAAGTCAGTGTTTTAGGGCAAATCAACCCTTCAGGAGATGAGTACAAATGCAAAACAATTAACATCTTTGCTTTAAATCAATCCACCCTGGGTACAAGTTAGCATTATCCTTAATTAGTATTATCAGTCTAGCTTGGCAAAGATTGTTATGGTACCAATTCCCCTCCAAGTTCTCTGTAGTTAAGTTACCAGTCAGAAACTTTTCGATTACTGTCCCATGCAGACCGACTGGCACCAACAGAACTGGAGAGATTGGGTTCCACCACAAACCTTCAGTCCAAACAAACAGTTCTTTGGTGGAAAACTGATTATGCATTGCATACAAAATCAAAATCAAAGGGTGACTGCAGCTAATCAAAAGTAGGGGAGAACTACAGTAAAGCTAAACTATTTAACAATTTCCTTGCCTCCATTTTTCTAAGCAGGGACTGGGTCACTCCCCCCGCAACCAGGACCCCCATAGTAGCCAAGGAGGTGCACCCAGGCCTAGGGTCAGTGAGGACCTAGTCAGGGAACTTCTGAAAAGACTGGACATATTTAAAAATCAGCTGGTCCTGATGTTCTCCACCCCACAGTGCTGAGGGAATTAGCTGAGGTCATCACAGGACCCTGGTG